CCCCAAAACCCCAAAACCCCAAAACCCCAAAACCCCATGTCACTAAATAATTAAATTAGTATGATATTAGAAGAATTTATCATTAATTGACTTTTATGAACTTAAATTACCAACTAAATTAATCAAAGAATAATGCTTTCCTCTATATGATTATTTATATCATATATAGTTGTCTCATCTTTAGCTTTTGCTTATTTTGATTCTTTATAAGAAACTTGCTAATATACTTTTTGAACATTATGCTTGTCTTTTTCCCTTTCCCTGTTTCTAGAGCTTTTTCTGCTTTTTGAAGGTTCCTCCAAATCCCTAAGATTTTCTACATTAATCGAGAGCATACTCAAAATTTTAGCATTTAAGATTGATTTTTTACTTTAGCGTACTATCTATTTTATTGACTTGTCCATTACATAAGGATCTCCTGATACTATCGACTTGAATTTTTTAAGTTTTTACTAATCATCAATTGATAAGACATTCTTATCAAAGTAAGGAATAAGCTCTCTTTAAAATTCACTTAAAAGTAGATGAGCTAATGAATCAGCTATTCTTAATTTTTTCAAGTATCTAACCATATCAAATTCTTTGTTTAATTTCTATACTCCTATTTCATAAAGCTTATCTTTAAAACTAGGCTTCAATCTACAGCAACCAGGGTAACAGCACATATTTTTAAGTACTTATTTCACATAATCTCTGAAGTTATATTGGAAGAAATTCAAACCCCGTAATCTTTACTCCATTTAAAGCTTTTTTAGCTTTGTACCATTTTTAGGGTTGTCTTTAGTCTAATTATCATTTAAAGTTTTCTATTTGAATGTTAATTTTTCTCGCGCACTTTCTTCGAGGGTTCCATTCAATTAAGTTCTAGATTATAAATTTGTTTAGCATAGATTTGCCATTGATGTCAAAGCTTCCTTTTTATTATAGTCCATGCAAAGATAAATCTTCTTCATGATTGATGTGAAGTAGAGAATCTTTTGAACTTGTGTAGTTAGAAGTTTGAAAATTATGAAAATTATTGAAGCGAAACCACCAGACTCTGTTAATACATCAATTAAGTTATAGGCTGTTCTTGTGGTAAAAGTTACCTATTCATCCATATTAAAATTAAGGGATACGATTAGTGTCCTTGTATCTCTAATCTACTGATTAACACTTTACCTCCTAACAGATGAATAGGTATAGTTTTTATTGTTAAAGCTCGAAGTGAACCAGGAGTCTTAAAGAACTGCATAATTTTTACTGATTCCAAAATACTCATATTTTATATCTGTCGTTGGAGTGTACTAAAAAGAGCTGATAGTATATTTAATCGGATTTTCATCAAAATTACTAACATCTAGAAAATTCTCAGCATAGCTGATCAGATAATAGGTATCTTTGAAAATTGCGTCAGCTTCTTCTCTAGTTTTGCATGTTAAATTTGGATTAATCCTATCTAAATATATTTAACTACAATAGTGGAGTTCTACTTTAACTCTTTGAGCGAAATTAGATCCGATCCTTCCTTAAAGTTTTGTCACAGGTGTTTCAGAGCACCACCACTTCTAAGCATCGTCTTATGACAAATTAGCGAATCTCTCATATCCGCACCTTGTAACATTCATTTCATCATATCTAAAAGTTAATGGATATTCCCCCTCTTTATAAGTTGTTTTCTTTTAAGAAGAATAGGTATACATTCTGATACTGTAGTATTGAAATAAGTTGGTGACATTTGGATCAAGTCCTTGGTAACTAAGCTGAACAGCATAATCGAATTCATTTGTTGTAAATTCATAGATGCTCTTATCAATATATAGATTTCTTACATACTTAATTTCCCTCAAAGCAAACTTGGATCAGTTTATTACAGAAACGAATTAGACGAATAAGTAAACGAGGATCCCTATAACTGAGAGAATAGTCATAATCCCACCAAAACTTGATTTGTAAGTCAATTCATTTTTATAGGTCATTGATATAGGATAGCCGAATAAATCTACTTTTCTGAGTTGTTTACCGCAGAAGTTTCTACATTTGCTTAAATTATTCTTTTTCATAGATATTCGAACGTTCTAAGTCATGTTATTAATATTTTGGAAGCTATATAGTTTAAGATTAATTATTTAGTCTATACTTAGGCCATTCAATATAGTAAATTAATTAAATTTCAATTATCTCGATTATTTTTATAATATGGGGTTTTGGGGTTTTGGGGTTTTGGGG